GCGGGGAAAATAAAAGGCGAGATGACCACAGAGAAGGATGGGGGACATCTCAGGACATCTGATTATTTCCTGCAAAGAAATTACGCAGGAAGAGAGCAGAGGACATCTGGCTCGTTCTTACTCCCTCCCCACATCCAGGCAAGAGATTGTGCCTCCCTCCGCTGTGAGACCGCTGCAGGCCTTACAGGGAGGGGCCCAGAGGAGTGACTGACTGCGAGCCAGCTCAGCTTCTCGTCAGAGGCAGGCTCTGGGGAGACCCAGCGGCTCTGGCTTGCAGGGAAGGGACGTGAGCAGGTGATGTTCCTGTCACTACACATCATGCTAGATGAGTCACCTGGGATTTCCTAAGCATTTAAGTCCAGGATTGGGCCAAATGGAGGGGAAGGAGGAGGGAAGCATAAAGAGGAAAAAGATAATGAGCTGGACCCTGAGGGTGAGTAAGTCGTTCTTGCTTTAAAGTGAACATTTGGGGAGGGGCCTTGACCAAGGGGAAAGAGGTACCAGGCAGTGCCCTGGGGCAGTGGCTGGACTGGAGATTGAGGAGGTGATGGTTTCCAGAGTGCCTCTTGTAGAAGGTATCTTCCTCTCCTGCTAGGAGCGAGGGGCAGGGTGGTGGGGGCAGTGGGGAGACGCCTCAGCCTCCTGGGGCACCTGGGGAAAATAAACATTGAAAAAGATTTTTTAAAACAAAATTTTTAATGGTTGTTTTAGAGAGAGAGCTAGAGCATGAGTGGGGGTACAGAGAGAGACAGAATCTGAAGCAGGCTTCAGGCTCTGAGCTGTCAGCACAGAGCCTGACGTGGGGCTTGAACCCACAAACCTCAAGGTCATGACTTGAACCGAAGTTGGATGCTGAACCAACTGAGCCACCCAGGTGTCCCTAAAAAATTTTATTGAAGAAATCACAGCATCCTAATGGCAGGAAGTCAGCTTCCAGCCAGAAGATGTGACCCTTAGACTTCGCCACTGCTCTTGGCTGCAGTGAACTGATCCAAGGCTGAAAGAGCGGTGGCTGCTTTCTGTGCTGTGCATACCTCGTTTTGTCGTTCTCCTCCTTAACGAGCTAGGTTGAAATTGGGGTCCCGGGTGCCAGGACCCAGCCATCTTGGGCCCACAGGAACTAACCCTCAGAAACCCCAACTAATAAGGGCCGACTGTGTACAGAGGGGCAAGTGAAGTCTTCACGGCCACATAAGCTGGGGCTGAAAGGTTGAGCCTGGGCTGGTGAGGATCAGGCAGCCCAGGCAGAGGGAACAGTGAGGACTGGGGATGGGAGTGTGGCATCTCTGGGACAGGAGCTCAGGCTCCTTCCACAGGTGAGGGCCCAGACGAAGGCAGTGCATTCACGTTTTGACCTTTAGCCTTGTGGCTTCGGCGCCCCAGCCTTTGCCTGCTCCCTGCTTTTCATAGTAGAAAGCTAATTCCTGCTCCCCTCATCTGTCCCCCCCCCCCTTTTCCTTTACCGGATTTGGATCTCTCGCACATGTTTTTAATAGGCATCCTTTAATCCAAGTGTTGCCTTCTGGGTTTTATTCTGTTTTCTTTTCCTTAAACAAAACAGAAAGCCCATGCCAGCTTGGAATAGGGCTTAAAACCGAAGCCAGTCAGTGCCGTTAGTCTGGCAGGGGGCCAGTCATGAATTAAGTACCCCATGCCACTCGAGAAGTCTGGCTGATCCCACACAGGTGGGGGCAGGGGGCCGAGAATGCCAGGAGCAGGAGGTTTCCAACACCTCTGCTGCGGGAAGAGTGATCAGCATAGACTCAGTCTGGCTGGGAGCAGGGCTATTTGAAGGAAGGCCTTGGACATTGTTGTCTGCCACTCCGGGTGTGCTGAGTCTTGGGCCTGGAGAAACGAAACCACTGTCGTGGAGGCAAATCCCTTTATCCCTTGGAGTCATCCTCCCAGAGGAGTCTTTGAGTGGCAATATCGTCGAGTCCTTTTCAAGAAGCAGCCTTATGCAAAATTGCTTCTGCATCTGTTGGAAAACTCTTCAAATTAAGGCTGGCTGGCTTGATGGATGTGGGAGGAGAGGTTGCCACCTGGCAGATTTTTGTTCAAGATTTAGTGCCAGGAGAAGCTTTGATTCCCTTGCAGAACTGGTAAGCATTGTCTGTGCATAACCAGAGCCATACAGCATAGTCTCCCTTTTTGCCTTGTCTGCTAGGAAGCTCAGAGCCAAGTTGAGTGCTCTCTGGGTCCCGTTTATAATGTTATCTTTTCCAGGGTCCTTTTTATTTCTCTTGTACTTAATCATGGTGTGGCTAAGTCATTTGGTGGGGGGGGGGGGGGGGGGAAGAGGGCATACATTTAAAAAGAGTTTGCCACTCAAGGCAGAACCTAGAAGTGGTGACCATACATTTTGGTCTGTAGCTCTTCTTGCAGGAGTGCCCTGAGGAAGCAGCTGAGAGGTGACAGAAGGGACAGAGGTGAAAGGCAGAGCTAGATTTTTGTTGTCTGCAGAGAAGAGTAAATGCCTAGCCAGGGTGCTGCTCCAGGTCAGTCCTGCTCCTGAACATAGGCCAGCTCGGCCGAACAGCACTCTGTAAAATGGCACCCTTCAGACTTTGCCTTGGCCTGACTGCACTGCTCCCCCACTAAACTAGCATCTTCTTAATTATGTGTCAGGCTTCTGAGTCCAGTGTTTTCCACCACACTGTCCAGTGTGTTTCTGCAAGCTACAGGGATGTTTGGATAAGGGCTCAGATCTGCTTGGGGGGCCCTCTTGGGTGAGGACCCCCAACCCCCTCTCTGATTCCGAGATGCCTCAAAGCCCACATTTCTCCACAGTGGTCCTGGCACCATGTTACCCAGTGGGTGGCCTGTGGCTTTTCTTCTTTTGATGGGTAGGCTGTGCCAGTGTTCCTGGGAGCCAAGCTCGCTCTCTTCCGTCTGGACTAAGCCAGAGGGTGCTAGACAAGGCTTTATAATTTGGGGTGAGGTCTCTTCTGTACTTCGCTGGGGAAGCCAGGGCCAGCCCAGACCAGCCACAGCTGCCTCTTTAGGCTGACCCATGCCAGACGCACAGTGACCTAGAGTGTCTGCACCAGACGTCTTCCAGTAAAGCTGAAGGCACTGTCCAGACCGGGGAGGTTGGCACAGCGAGGTCAGCCGAACCTGCCCCCGGGCAGTGGTGGTCAGCAGCCCTTCCTCAGTACCTCTTGGCCTTGTCACAGGACCCAACCCCTTGGAGTGCTTGGATTGCACTTGGATTGCACTTGGATTTCCTAGGCATTTTTTTTTTTTTTTTAGGTTTCCAAAGCAACATAGCTCACATTTTAGTGACCACATTGTTTAGAATATAGCTTATCTCACTGGAATGTTGAAGCATCGAGCGCAGCCAGAGCCGGATGTGACCGCTGTGGCTCAACCCATCCTCGGGGGCACAGGCCACAAGCCATGGTCGCTCTTGATCCAGTCACTCCTCCATTCCCCGTTAAAAGCAGCTTAGATCCCCTGCCTTCCTTGCTTCCTTCCCTCTATCCTGGGAAGAGAGGAAAGGGGCGAGGACACTTTGCCTTCCCTGCAGTGGAGGTCGGGACAGGAGCAGGATGTTCTCAGGTTCATGTACACAATCAGTTCGATATTGGCAGCACCATTTATCAAGCGCTTGACGTGGGCCCGGCACCTCATGTGATTTCTCCCAATCTGTTTGCAGACAGCACCCAGTGGTAAAGAGGTTTCTCCACCTGGTGGCTGCAGGGGGAGATGTGGAGGCTGAAACCTAGAGCTGGACTGGTTCGCTGATAGTCACACGGCTGGTCCACGCCAGAGCAGAGAGTGCGTTCTGGTCTGCCTGGCTTCAAAGCTGGAGCTCCGTGACCTGGTTAAACACCCAAGGCAGTGGTTTTCAACCAGGGGCTCCTTTGCCCCTTCAAAGACCGCCGGCAGCGCCTGGGGCCATTTGTTACTGTCACAGCTTGGGAGGGGGAGATGTGTGTGTGCTACCGGCATTAAGTGGGTAGACACCAACCAGGGAGGCTACTGAACATCTTGTGACCTACAACGCCCCCCTCCCTCATCCCAGGCGAAGAATTATTATTTGGCTCACACTTTCTGGGTGTGTGTTGAATGCAGGGATGTTACAGGTCTACACCTCCTCCCACGTGTGGTAGGTGTTCTCTTTACCTTCGAAAAGGGGTCACAGGCATTGACCCCACAAGTAGATCTGGGCCCTTTGCCCTGCAGGGGGCTCCCAGGCCCCTCCCAGAACAGCTTCTGAGTTTTGTCTCTTGTTCTTCCCACACTTCTAAAGGTCTGGTGAGCAGAGATCCCAGTGGGTTCTCACTCCAGGAAGCGGCTCGGCAGGCAGTTAGCTGGGGTCCCTGGCCAGTGCTGAGACCTGGCACAGTGAGCCCTTCCTGTCTGTCCCTCACACCAGTTCCCACAGACGCACCCTGAGTAACCACGTGCCCCCGAATATGAGAGCCAGAGCGAGTGATCTGGCTAGAGGTCCAAAGGGAGGAGCGAGAAGGGACAGGAGACTCAGCAGTTCTCCGACAAGGGGGTGGATTCAAGTAGGCAGCGAGGGAGCTGTGGTGCAATGCTCCAGCCCACGTGGGAGCAGTGCGGTGCAGGGGGGTGGCCGGAAGAGGCTGGACAGGAGTGCCGTGGAGTCCTGTTAGGATGCCGTGGCACTGACGCCAGGGAGGAAGGAGGGGGCCTGGCCCAGGGCTAAGCACGGACTTGCTGAGGGATGCAGGGGGAGGACAGGGTGCCTTGGCAGGTGTGGACCAGAGTGGCCACAGGTGACAGGAGGGCTAGGGAGTCACAGGAAAGGTGATGCGGGATCATGTGAGGGGGAACCTCTAAAGAGAACCAACTCCTCTCAAGATGGCAGTTTTGCTCTGAGGAGCCCTTGGTTGAGACCACAGACTGACAGCTAGGACAAATTGAGAATTTCTCTTAGGCGAGCCTGGGTCTTAGCCACCCCTCCAGACAGCATCTGGGTACGTGCGGAAGATCGTTTCTGTAATAAGAGACGCAGACCTGGTGTCTGTGTGGTCACACCTGGCACCCGTGGAACCCCCTTGGCTGCCCCAGCCTTTTCCTTTCATGGGCTTGGATCCTGACTTGCTGCCCCACAGGCTAGGAGTGTCCAAGACTGGGCAGAGCCGAGAGCCCTTCTGGAGGCAGAGATTTGCTTCAGAAGAAAGGCTGGGAGGTGGCCGGGTAGGGTGATGTGGCACGCCGGGCCTGCCCAGTGGGCTTTCCCAGGTGTGGGTTGATGCCTGGCCCTCTTGGGGTTTGTCCAGCACCTCCTTGGAGACTGTTCCACCCAAGGCCAGCCAGGCAGGACAGGACCTTTATGAGCTCAAAACTAAATGAAAGTGGCATGTTTTTCCAAACACTGGAGGATTTTTTTTTTTTATCCCACTGGATTCTGCAAGTTTAATATCCTACAAGGCACAAGGGCAGAGGATTGTAACACGCTCTGAGGGGCAGAGAAACCGTCTTACGGAGCACCCAGGGGACCTCGTTGAGGAGTGTGCGACCCGGGGGCCCCTGACCCAGTCGCCTGATGTGTCTTCCCAGACCTGCAGCCTGTCACCTACTGCGAGCCAGCCTTCTGGTGCTCCATTTCCTACTACGAGCTGAACCAGCGCGTCGGGGAGACCTTCCACGCCTCCCAGCCCTCCATGACCGTGGATGGCTTCACCGACCCCTCCAACTCGGAGCGCTTCTGCCTGGGGCTGCTCTCCAATGTCAACAGGAACGCGGCTGTGGAGCTCACACGGAGGCATATCGGTAAGGATGCCACGTTTCCCCGCGGACCCCCGCCGTGGCCCCAGCAGCCACAGTGCAGAACCCACCAACCGGCACTGTGCCACACCTCCGGGGAGCCCGGAGAGGATGCGCTCCCCCAGCCCGCCCCCAAACTCTGTATGGCTTTGTTTAGGGGCCAGACGGGAAGAGTTCCCAGTGTTTGGTCATTCCCATTCAGAGACATAGATTATGTTTGAAAATGTGAAAGCCACAGAGGAAAGCATTCACTTAAGGGAGGGGGCAAGAATGGGGAATCTATGAGAAGGGCGCATCTGCAACCCTCTTCATAAACGTACCTCGTGATCGTTGGATAGGTAGATGGGGTCAGTCTTGATGGGAGTGAGCTTTTCTTTGTTCATTTCCCATATGATTATTCTAGGCTACCAGAACAACACTGGTGCTGATACTCTGCCTTCGAACACCCAGAACACAATAAAAGACGGTTTCTAGAGGAAGAAGTCATGTGTATGCCCCTTGGTTTGCTCATAAAATTATCATGCTAAGGATGTTTGTAATTCTGTGATCCCGAGTCACTCAGAAGTCCATGGAGATGATATAGTAGGGTATTCTCAGTCCAGAGCCCCTGGGGTTGGCAGACGGGCTCCAGGGCTAGGGTAGGGTGGCAGGGGGTCTGGTCCTAAGTGAACCGGAGCACCCTTGATCTTGTCTGTATTATATCTTGGGCTTTCACAGAAGTTCTCATTTGAAGAGAGGGTTTCTTTATGGTTAAGAAGAGTTTGGAGGCCATAGGTGTGGGCCATGTGCTCATTTTCCAGGCAAAAACCTGATGCCCAAGGAAGAGCAGAGCCTCGCAGAGGCTACACAGTGAGTGTGACACAGCCAGTGACAAACAGTCCCCTGCCACTGAGCCCACATCCTTCCCAGACAGCCTCCCCATGTGTTTTACTTCAAAAAGGATACTGATCCTGGGAGGCATACATCATTGTTTACTTATTCTCTTTATACTTCTCTCTATTTAAAAAAAAATAACATCTTATTTTTGAGAGAGAGAGTGTGTGTGAGTGGGGAAGAGGCAGAGAGAGAGGGAGACACAGAATCCGAAGCAGGTTCCAGGCTCTGAGCTGTCAGCCCAGAGCCCGATGCGGGGCTTGAACCCACAAACCATGAGATCGTGACCTGAGCTGAAGTCGGATGCTTAACTGACTGAGCCACCCGGGCGCCCCTACTTTTCTGTATTTTTAAAACTAGTATTTCAAAAATTTACCAAAACAAAACACATTTTCGTTGTTTTGGTCTGGGTCTCCCCATCTCTGCCTGTGACCTTGACTGACCTAACACCGTGGCCCCTCCTTATGGACTCTGACTCGGCCAGCACCCCACATATTTGTGACACCAAAGTCTTGCAGCACCAAACCAAGAAGAAATGGGGGTGCGGCAGTAGTGGGAGGAGGAGGCGGGGAGAACACCCAGTGGCCCCCTGGTTTCTATCCCACTTGACGTTGTGCCCGTAAACCCTGGCTCCGTTTTCCAGCCCTCTGGGCCTCTTCCCCAGAAGCAGCAACAGAGGCCTTCCCGTGCAGCAGAGGAGAACATCCCTGGCTGAGAGGAGAGCTCATTGTCAGAGCATTTACGTAACTGCTTGCTCGAATTGCAGAGGCAATTTAAAAATAATTCCTGTCCATCTGGAATGGATTTAAGAGATGAAGGAAAAGTGAATGATATAAACCTATGGAATGTTTCAGAAAAATGCACTGGGGAGGGAAAGGTACAGGAGGGGGCACGAAGCCATCCCTGTAAAGCAGGGCGCCTGCGAGGTCTGCTGCCTCAGGAGGAGCCCTGCAGGTCTGCTGAGTGAATTCGTGTAGCAGCAGCCGTAGTAACAGCTCGTACTTAGCGGGCGCTTAGTGTGGGTGGCACAACAGCCCTGGGAGGTAGGTATTACTGTTACCCCATCTTTCAGACGAAGAAACTGAGGCTCAGAGCGTGAGTAACTGGATGGAGGCCCATGGCTAGTCCGTGGCAGAGGCCGTGGCAGAGGCCGTCGTTGAGACTTACCCCTGCCCTGGCCCCTGGTCATCTCCCTCCTCCAGCTTGAGGAACCCTTGTTTTCCCGTGTGTGGGTTTAGGCTTGGGCTCTGGGTCCTGTTTGTCTGGTGAGGCTGGCGGAGAGGCAGCCCCTCCGAGCATCGGCTCAGCTCTGCCTCCTCGGCTGGCCTCAGCTGGCCCTGGGGCCAGACGCTGGGCCGGCCTGACCCACATCTCTGTAGGGCGAGGCGTGCGGCTGTACTACATCGGAGGGGAGGTCTTCGCCGAGTGCCTCAGTGACAGCGCCATCTTTGTCCAGTCTCCCAACTGTAACCAGCGCTACGGCTGGCACCCAGCCACCGTCTGCAAGATCCCGCCAGGTAAGGGCTCTCACCCCTACCCTGCCCCGATGGCCTCTCTAGCCCCGGTGCATGCCTGGGAGAGGTTTCTGCTTTCTTACCTTGTCTCCTCCTCGCTTTTTGCGTTGCCAGCCCGGAGGTGCCTTGCTGGGGTGTTCTCTGTGGCTTCCGATCTTGCTGTGCTCTCCTTGACCCTCCAAGGAGCAGACGCAGCATCTGACGGATCTGCCTCTGATCTGTGGGTACCTGCTTGTTGCCTCGTGCGC